GACACTATTATCTTACTGGACACCCTCTGAATATTTTGTTTCCAGGGAATCCCAAATCAGTTTCCTAAATCTAGCATACAGGCATCTAGGACACTATAAGATGGTTTTTTGAACTTAGAAATAAAAGAGTCAATGACAGGAGTACTTTTATTTTAATGGAAATCCTCAGGCTCCCATGATGAGAACACTACTTCCGTTCTGTGAATGGAGAAGTATGGCTTTAACATACAGCTTAATAATTCTTACTTGTCAATGAGGGTGGGGGTCAGTCAGATTACTAGACAGAAAGATTAATAACTATGCCATCTCTCAAGTTTCACTTTACTCATGCAAATGATGTGTGTTTAAAGGAATCCTTTAATACTAAATCATCAAGAAGTATCTCTGAGACTATACTGATATTATGTATTGATCATTATAATCATTACCTACAAGATACAATTTGATACAAAATGTAGACCTATGACTCCAATACCATCACTTTTCCTCTCCTTTATAATTATTTAACATCTTGTTGTTGATGAAGAAACTTCAAAAGCTTGCATAATGCCTTTTGTGCATTTTAGTTATCCAAGAAAGGTATCACTCTTGTGTGTATTTTGTTTCATTGTATGGCACATGATATATGTCATCACTTGAAGGTCTGAATTATTAGTACAGAAAATTATGCAAGTGACACCAAGCTAGAGGTTAGCATCCAACGAACACCATGATAGGAAATCACATTACCAGTGACCACATGGCTTATTATCAGTACCAGGACCAGCTACTGTCAGATCATCTAAAAGGTATACAGCAAAACCTCATTCAGTGCACTGTCCTGAGACAAGCAAAAAACCTGATCATCAAAATAGGAACTTCTTGACCTCATCACTTTTAGGCCATCACTCATATCCACCTCACTGACTAACACCAACCCTGTTCTCCAACAAAATTCAGGGTTCTTTCTGTGGGGAAAAAAACCTTTTCATCCATCTCAAAAAAACAGCTCACCATCTACTTGAAATGGGATCAAAAATGATCCAAGTGCATGTACAATTTCAGTTCTATGCAGTTATTAGCTCAAAGATCAGCCTTTAATATATATATATTTCCAGCTGCTAAAGCGCCTATAATATTCACATTAATGCTATCCTATTACCAGCCAGCTGTTACAATGTTATATATCAACTTCAACATTTCAGATCATTTTATAGAAGTAAATACTGCCGCTCCCATTTTCCCATCTGGCTGGGAGAAAAAAAACAACATAGAAAAGCAAACTCATTGTCCAAGGTGACTTTCAGGCTTAGGAGATGCATAATCCTGAAATTATGGATGAAAAATACTATAAAATACATCTTAAAGAATATGAGACCTCATATGGGATGGTTCTAAATGAATAGCAGGCTCTTTATCAAGAAACTCTTCTGAAATTAGAGGAACTGAAGCTAAACCTTTTCATGGAAAATATTTCAACATAATTAACATTGTTGTTCATTAAGGGAAAGATGTCCATAAAACCATCACAAGACACCACACCAAGGTGAGCATGCCAAAAGAAACCACAATAAGCTCCTACTGGATTCTTCTCCAAGCCACAATAATAGATTCATAGAATGATAGACTCATAGAGTTGGAAGAGACCACATAAGCCACCTAGTCCAACCCCCTGTCATTCAGGAAAGTACAATCAAAGTATCACTGGGTTGCTGTGAGTCTTTCAGTCTGTATGGCCATGTTACAAAAGCATTCTCTCCTGACGTTTCACCCACATCTATGGCAGGTGTCTTCAGAGGTTATGAGGTCTCTTGGAAACTAGGAAAATGGGGTTTATATATCTGTGAAATGTCCAGGGTGAGAGAAAAACTCAGAGCAACCCAGTGATTCCAGCCATGAAAGCCTTTGACAACAAATCAAAGTTTCCCTGAGACAGATGGCCATCCAGCCTTTGTTTAAAAGTTTCCAAGGAAAGAGTTTCCATGACACTCTGAGGCAGAGAGTTCCATGGTTGAACAGCTCATATGGTCAGGAAATTCTTCCTAATGTTCTGGTGGAATATCCTTTCCTGTAATTTGAACCCATTGCTCCAAGTCTTCCCAATCTTCTTCTTCCCAATCTAGGGATCCTTGGCATTTACCATTACTTTTCTTTTGCAAGAGGTCAACAACCAGGCAAGAAGTAGTATTAGGGCTGGTTGATCAAGAAAAAATTTGGTTCTAAAATCGATTTGTAATTGGGGTGTTTTTTTGTTTCGATATTTAAAATAATTACAAAACTTTCCCAAAAAAAAGTTTCGGTATTTACGAAATTTCGTAAATATTTACAAAACATTTTGTAAAGATGGCGGACCCCCCGCGCATGCGCAAAACATTTCCGAAGCTTACGTTATTGCCGCGGGGTCGATTCGTTAAGGGGGCTCCCTCAACTTGCTTCTAAACAAGGGGGATGGACTGGATGACCTTTGGGGGTCCCCACTGGGAGTTGAACTCCAAAGCCCTTAGAGGAGGAGGAGGAAGAGGAGGAGGAGGAGGAGTTTGGGAGTCCTTGGTGAAGATCAGAGGATGCTTGACATGGGAGGGAGGAGGGAAAGGGGAGAAGGAGGGAGGGAGGCAAGGAGGAGGGTGGCCTTGGCTGCAGGGGAGCCTGCACCATGGAAGAGCCCTGGGTGGGCAGGTGCCAGGAGCTTCGAGGGCGGGATGACGCAGGAAGGGGGCATGATCCAAGGGAGAAGATGCTCGGAGGAGGATGGATGCGTGCCTGGATGCGTGGATGGAGGGAGGATGGAGGCAGGCAGGCAGGCAGGCAAGCGGGTGTTTCCCTCCTTCCCGCTCTCACCGGTCTCCTGCTCCCCGAGGAAGGCATCCTCCTCCTTGCGGGAGCGGAGGCAGCTCTCCGAGCCCTCCTCCTGCCGCCGCCGCCTCCTCCTCCTCGGGCAGCCGGGGAAAGCTGCTCATGTAATCCACGGGCGAGTAGGCGCCCAGGCTGCTCTGCTGGCTCGCCTCCTTCTCGGCCGCCGCAGCCGCGGCTGCAGCAGTCGCTGCGCTGCTCGCCATCCTTCTGCCGGGAAGGGAAAGCCAAGCCAAGCAAGCAAGCAAGGAGGCAAAGCGCGCTCGCGGGGGAGGGGTGGGGCAAAGAGAAAGGGGCGCCGGAGCGCCGGATTCAGGCACCAGCAGCATCCTCCATCCAATTTCCGAAACGGGCGGAAACTCGTTAAAAGGATGGGGGATGCTGCCTCGTTATTTTTAAACCCTTCCGGGTTTAAAAAAGTGTTTTGTTATCGTTTCGTAAATGCAAAAATTAACGAATGTTTAACGAATTACAAAATTAACGAACGAAACCGCACAGGCCTAAGTAGTATTATAGACTCATAGAGTTGGAAGAGACCTCATGGGCCATCCAGTCCAACCCCCTAACATGCAGGAAAGTACAAAGTTCCCCCTGAAAGATGGCCACCCAGCCTCTGTTTACATTCCTCCAAGGAAGGATCTTCCACCACACTCTGAGGCAGAGAGTTCCATTGCTGAACAGCTCACAGTCAGGAAGTTCTTCCTAATGTTTAGGTGGCATCTCCTTTCCTATAATTTGCACCAATTACTCAGAGTATTTCCTATCCTCTCATAACATCCAAGATCTACTGATCATAGAATCACATAGTTGGAAGAGACCTCGTGGGCCATCCAGTCCAACTCCCTGCCAAGAAACAGGGAAATCACATTCAAAGTGATCCTTGACATTCACCACTACTTTTCATAGAATCATAGAGTTGGAAGAGACCTCATGGGTCATCCAATCAAACCCCCTGCCAAGAAGCAGGGAAATCAAGTTCAAAGCACTCACAAGAGATGGCCATTCAGCCTCTGCTTAAAAGCCTCCAAAGAAAGAGCCTCCACCACACTCCAGGGCAGAGAATTCCACTGCTGAACAGCTCTCACAGTTAGGACATTCTTCCTAATGTTCTGGTGGAATCTCCTTTCCTGTAATTTGAACTCATTGCTCCGAGTCTTCCCAATCTTCTCATGACAACCAAGATCTACAGAGTTGGAAGAGACCCTGTGGGCCATCCAGTCCAACCCCCTGCCAAGAAACAGGGAAATCACATTCAAAGTGATCCTTGACATTCACCACTACTTTTCATAGAATCATAGAGTTGGAAGAGACCTCATGGGTCATCCAATCAAACCCCCTGCCAAGAAGCAGGGAAATCAAGTTCAAAGCACTCACAAGAGATGGCCATCCAGCCTCTGCTTAAAAGCCTCCAAAGAAAGAGACTCCACCACACTCCGGGGAAGAGTTCCACTGCTGAACAGCTCCCACAGTTAGAAAGTTCTTCCTAATGTTCTGGTGGAATCCCCTTGCCTGTAATTTGAACCCATTGCTCCAAGTTTCCCAATCTTCTCATGACAACCAAGATCTACAAATCATAGAATCATAGAGTTGGAAGAGACCCCGTGGGCCATCCAGTCCAACTCGCTACCAAGAAGCAGGAAAATTGCATTCAAAGCTATCCTTGGCATTCACCGCAACTTTTCATAGAATCATAGATTTGAAAGAGACCCTGTGGACCATCCAGTCCAACCCCCTACCACGAAGCAAGAACATTGCATCCAAAGCTATCCTTGGCATTCACCACAACTTTTCATAGAATCATAGATTTGAAAGAGACCCTGTGGCCCATCCAGTCCAAACTCCTACCATGAAGCAAGAATTTTGCATCCAAAGCTATCCTTGGCATTCACCACGACTTTTCATAGAGTCATAGATTTGGAAGAGACCCTGTGGGCCATCCAGTCCAACCCCCTACCAAGAAGCAGGAAAATTGCATCCAAGCCTATCCTTGGCATTCACCACGACTTTTCATAGAATCATAGATTTGGAGGAGACCCTGTGGCTCATTCAGTCCAACCCCCTGCCAAGCAGCATGAACACTCATCACATTCAAAGCACCCCCCGACTTTTGTTTTGTAAGAGGTCAACAACCAGGCAAGAAGTAGCAGCATCAAGAAGAGGGCAAGACTTACTTGAACCTGCCTTGGCAATGCTGGCAGAGGTCTCCCACCCAGCCCTGGTCGCAGAGGCAGGTGGCGTTGACACATCGCCCGGCGAAGCAGGAGGTCCTCTCGCAAGGCTTGGCCTGGGAGACTTGGGCATAGAGCACCAGGTAGAGTAATCCGTAAAAGAGCAGCCAGGTATTCATCTCCAGGAAGGAGGAGGAGGTGGTGGTAGAGGAGGAGAAAGGTCTCCAGGCGCCCAAGAGCAGAGGCGGGCCTCCCATCCTGCGCAGGACTTTCCCCAGTGGCTCCATCCACATCCAAGGAGGAAAGAAAGGCAGATTAACCCAGTTCCTGGGAGGAGGAAAACAAGCCTGGCCACTCCATGCAGGTCGGGAAAAGAGCAAGGAGGAGAGCAGGAGGAGGAGAAGAGGCGTCCTGAAGATGAGGAGGAGTTCAATTTGGGAGAGATGGAGAGAGAGAGGTCCTGGCAGCACCTGTGGGGGGAGGAGAGAGGTCTCTCTCCCTCAGGTGGAAAAGGCCGGCCTTCCTCCCGCCTCCTCTTCCTCTTCCTCCTCAGGGCTCATGGCCCGCCGGCTGCCATCAACGCAGGGCTCTCCCCTGACCTTGGCTGGCTTTCTCCTCACGATGGCTGACCCTCCAAAGAAGCCTCAGCCAGCCCCCAAATGCAATGCAATGCAATGCAACGCAGCCCGCCCTTTTCCCCCCACTCCAAAAGCCTCCCTTCAGCTGCAGAAAAGGAAGAAGCAGCTCCCTCCTCCCAGCATCCCAAACCCGACTGTGGAAAGAGAGAGAGAGAGGAAGGCAGTCCTCCTTTTCCTCTTCCTCCTCCTCCTCCAAAATGAGACTTAAAAGCCCTCTCCTGTCCCAGCTGACAGTTTGGAAGCAGCCATTTTTAAAAGGCTAATTGTAATCTGCTTTCCGAGGCGAGTGGCTGAAGGGGAAGAGAGGGAGGGAGGGAGAGGGGGGGCTCCATCCCTCCTCCTCCTCTCTCTCTCTCTCTCTCTCTCTCCTCCTCTTTCTTCCCTCCTTCCTCCCTTCTGCTCCGCCTCCTTTTTCAATTTTTTCCCTTTTCCCCTTCAGACTGAGCCCCTAAAAAGGGAGGAATCCCTGCAAATGCTTCAGGAATGGGCTGAAGAGGGGAAAGGGAAGGCTCGCCCTGGCTCTTCCTTCAGGGGGAAAAGTTCCCTCCCCAGTTGCCCCAGCAGGGCGCCTTTGGGGACTGAAGAGTCGCGCAAGGGACAGAAGGAAGCAAAGAGGCGCTTCCTCCCGTCTCTCCTCGCTCGCTGCCTGCCTCCTCTTTCCCTTTCTCTCTCTCTCTCTCTCTCTCTCTCCAGCTTTTTGCCAAAGAGCTGGAGGCATGAGAAGAGGAGAGAGGAGGGGGGGAAACTACCGCACAAAGGAGAGCTGAGCATGTGCGGCAGCAGGAAGGGGAGCCTCCTTAAAGGAGCCGCGCGCCTCTCTCCGCAATGGGTCCCGGGTTGGCTTCTCTCTCCAGCTCATCTTTTCCCCAGGAAAGAGCGCCGGGACTTCAGAGAGTATTGTCGAAGGCTTTCATGGCTGGGATCACAGGGTTGTTGTAGGTTTTTCGGGCTAGATGGCCATGTTCTAGAACAGTGGTTCTCAGCCTTCCTAATGCCGTGACCCCTGAATACAGTCCCTCATGTTGTGGTGACCCCCAACCATAACATTGTTTTTGTTGCTACTTCATAACACTCATTTTACTCCTAGGTTCTTGTGGGTTTTTTCGGGCTATAGGGCCATGTTCTAGAGGCATTTCTCCTGACGTTTCACCTGCATCTATGGCAAGCATCCTCAGAGGTAGTGAGGTCTGTTGGAATTAAGACAATGGGTTTATATATCTGTGGAATGGCTGGGGTGGGGCAAAGAGCTCTTCTCTGCTGGAGCTAGGTGTGAATGTTTCAACTGACCACCTTCATTAGCATTTGAAGGCCTGCTTGAGCCTGGGACCTAGCTCAGGAGGGAAGAGCTCCTTGCCCCACCCCAGCCATTCCACAGATATATAAACCCATTGTCCTAATTCCAACAGACCTCACACCTCTGAGGATGCTTGCCATAGATGCAGGCGAAACGTCAGGAGAAATGCCTCTAGAACATGGCCTATAGCCCGAAAAAACCCACAAGAACCTAGTGATTCCAGCCATGAAAGCCTTCAACAATACTACTACAATATGAATCAGTACACTATTATCTTACTGGACACCCTCTGAATATTTTGTTTCCAGGGAATCCCAAATCAGTTTCTCAAATCTAGCATACAGGCATTTGGAACAGTATAAGAAGGTTTTTTGAACTTAAAAATAAAAGAATCAATGACAGGAGTACTTTTATTTTAATGGAAATCTTCAAGCTCCCATGATGAACATGGCCCTATAGCCCGAAAAAAACCCACAAGAACCTAGTGATTCCAGCCATGAAAGCCTTCGACAATACATTTTACTCCTGTTATAAATCATAATGTAAATATCAGATATGCAAGATGTATTTTCATTCACTGGACCAAAATGGGCACAAATACCCTATGCACCCACATGTAAATGCTAGTGGGGTTGGGGGAGGATTGATTTTGTAATTTGGGAGTTGTAGTTGCTGGGATTTGTAGTTCACCTATAATCAAAGAGCATTCTGAACTCCACCAGCGATGGGTTTGAACCTAATTAGCCACACAAAACTCCCATGCCCAACGGAAAACACTGGAAGTGTTTGGTGGGCATTGACCTTGAGTTTGGGAGTTGTAGTTCACCTATATCCAGAGAGCACTGTGGACTCACACAATGGTGGATCTGGACAAAACTTGGCACAAATACTCAATATGCGCAAATGGTGGAGTCTGGAGAAAATAGACCTTGACTTTTGGGAGTTGTAGTTGCTGGGATTTATAGTTCATTACAATCAAAGAACATTCTGAACTCCACCAATGATAAAATTGGCTCAAACTTCCTACATGGAATCCCCATGACCATCAGAAAATGCTGTGTTTTCTGATGGTCTTTGGCGACCCCTCTGACACCCCTTTGCGACCCCCTCAGGGGTCTCGACCCCCTGGTTGAGAAACACTGTTCTAGAAGCATTCTCTCCCGACGTTTCACCTGCATCTATGGCAAGCATCCTCAGGTTGTGAAGTCTGTTGGAACTAGGAAAATTGAGTTTTCCTAGTTCCAACAGATACACTACAGAGCCTAAGCCAGAGGTCCTCAAACCTTTTAAACAGAGGGCCAAGTCACAGTCCCACAAACTGTTCTAGGGCCGGATTATAATTTTTAAAAAGCATGAATGAATTCCTATGCACACTGCACATATCTTATTTGCAATGCAAAAACACTTTAAAACAATTTTTTTTGTCATGTCAGGAGCGACTGCAAGTTGCTTCTGGTGTGAGAGAATTGGCCATCTGCAAGGACGTTGCCCAGGGGACGCCTGGATGATTTGATGTTCTTATCATCCTTGTGGGAGGCTTCTCTCATGCCCCCATATGAGGAGCTGGAGCTGATAGAGGGAGCTCATCCGCCTCTCCCCGGATTCGAACCTGCAACCTATCAGTCTTCAGTCCTGCCGGCACAGGGGTTTAACCCACTGCGCCACCGGGAGCTCCATACTTTAAAACAATGCAATAATGTAAATGAAGAACAATTTTAACAAATATAAACTTATTAGTATTTCAATGGAAAGTGTGGGCCTGCTTTTGGCTGATGAGATAGGATTGTTGTTGTTGTGTGCTTTCAAGTAGTTTCAGACTTAGGTTGACCCAGAGCGAGGGCTGGGTAAATGATCTTGAAGGGCCATATCCAGCCCTCGGGCCTTAGTTTGAGGATCCCTGGCCTAAGCTATTCACAGGAATTGGATCCAAAGGTATAAAGACAGACAGGCACTTACAACAGAGCCAATTCAACAACATAAGATAAGAATAATACCCGAAGAAGATATTGTGAAACAAGGAAAACAACCCGGGAGAGGGGTTCCTGACGTTATGTTTTGATGAAGAATTTTTTACAACACAGAAATTAGGAGCCCCCGATGGCACAGGGGATTAAACCCCTGTGCCGGCAGGACTGAAGACCAACAGATCACAGGTTCGAATCCGGGGAGAGCGCGGATGAGCTCCCTCTATCAGCTCCAGCTCCTCATGCAGGGACATGAGAGAAACCTCCCACAAGGATGGTAAAACATCAAAAAAGAAAACATCCAGGCATCCCCTGGGCAACGTCCTTGCTGACAGCCAATTATCTCATACCAGAAGCAACTTGCAGTTTCTCAAGTCGCTCCTCACACGACATAAAAAACCCACAGAAATTGTTACTTTGGAAAGTGAAATCTCATTATATTCTAAAAACATTGATAAGCAACTTTGCATGAGGTCATGAACTAATGAAGAATAACCTGGTATATAGTAATTGTCATTTTGGAAGCTTAAATTTCATTGTGTTTACAGAATGTTGAGAAGCAACCTTTTATTTATAAACAATTACTAATCAGTAGTATTACTGTTCCCATGTTACGTTTAATGAAGATTTTCCTGTAATATAAAAATTGTGATTTGCAATTTGCAGTTTTTTGTAATTGTTGTTATAGATATCTGTGCATGTTACACCATCAAATCAAATCAAATCATTTATTTCGGTCATTGACCAGCACAGGAAATAGTCACATTTTCATACAAACTTGGTATGTTTGGTACATTGAAAATATAAATATAACTACTGAAGCACAATATGGGTGAGGGAGCGAAAAGGAAGGGGAAACAGGGTAAAAACATACAATGCCCAGATCCATCATCAAATTGTAGATTCAGAGAAGAAGATTACTGGACACACAGTTAACTTTTGGGACTAGTCATTCCCTGACGGATTTTGTATGCTGCTGCACAGAACTTTGCAACATTTTAGGTTGTAGCTGAATTAATATCTGCAAGTAGCATGGAGGTATAAAATTGTCCTGAATGGCCTGGGTGCTTATATAACAGAGGCAAGATAAACCTGGCACGGATATCCCTGTAGAACGGGCACTGAAGGAGCAATGTTCTATTGTTTCTACATGACCCGAGTCACAGGGGCAGAGTTGCTCTGGGAAAGGGATCTTCCGGTAGCGGCCTTCGAGTACAGCTGATGGGAGAACGTGGCATCGAGCCAGGGTGAAAGCCCTTCGATGAATGGGAACCTCTAAGTTTGTTAAATATGCCATAGTGGAGGCAAGATATCTGCTGTCTTCATTGATAAGGAAGGTTGGAACCGAGGCCAGATCTAGTTGTCGCTTTGTATCTGTGATACATTGTTTAATAAGTGCTTTGGCTTGATTGTAATCCATAGTGAGTAGTAGACCTGGAGAAAATCCCAATGAGGAGATTTTTGATGCTACCGCCTGCTTCCATGTGGATTGGAAGTCATCCTTCATGGTTAG